AGAAGCTGATAATAACCTTTCCATATCAACCCATTAAAAATGTTGAAACTTTCCTTTAAAACAACGTTATTTCTTGCAGATTGAAGGAAAGATTAGAGTCGATACAGTTGATTGTTTTGGGGAAAAGAGTAACTTCCCAAAATGTCTGAGTTCAAAGGTTAAATATAAAATCTCCCCCTTCCTCTACACGTGCAGCAACCTGAGATCCAAAGGATTCTGGCCTTCTGAGCTCCTCAAAGTTCCCTCAGTCTCCCCTCCCTGACCTCCTTTCATCCCTCCATCCCTCCACCTTTTCTTCTTTTTAATACAAATCAGCCACTCAATGTCATGCACATGTTTTAGTGCCATTTGAACTCCGGCAGGGGACTTCAAACAGCGTTCAAAGTGAGCCGAGCTCCCCCTCACGCCCTTTGTGCTCCATTTTTGCCTCTTTTTGAAAGAACAGAGCCGTGCTTCCAAACACACCTGATCAGAAGGTCGAGAGATGGGGATTATGATATGCAAATGAGGCTTTGTTATCACGGCTGACATTCGTTATAAAGACGAACAGGAGGAGAGGCAACATGAAAAGGGGCTAACTCACCCCTCCCGCCCCCTTACCCCTTTTAGCATAACTTTCCCTCTCAAACACATCAGCCTACCTAAGCCCTTCTTTATATTTAGATCAAAAGGTTACACACAACAGGGGAAGAGGAAGGACTTTGCACACACTAATATGTACTTTTACTCAGTTGATACGATTGATTGGTCAGTCCAGAAGTGCTTTGTGCAGGAAAATGTCAAAGGGACAGTCTTGTCATTTTTGAAGTGACGTTCTGTCAAATATCAGCTGGCTATGAATGTTTTAGTGCACATTTTTGGATTTACCAGATGTGCTGATCAGACTGAAACACTTGCAGCATCATCGTAGGCTCCACAGTCCATGCACAGCACAGATTTGACTGAGGAGCAAGGAGAAGGGTCAGGTAGGAGTACTTCAGGAATGGATATACCGTATTTTCTGCCGTACACGTCACTCCGCCTTATAAGTCGCATCAGTCCAAATATGTCTAAAAAAGTGGGAAAATCCATAAATATGTTGCTTCGCCATATACATCGCATCTATTATGCGTCACCACTGACAACCTGGAAATGTGGGCCGGTGTTGTGCCAAAAATCGATTAGCTGCCAAATGGCGGCCGCGGGAGCATGCACGAGAGGACTTTATCAAGAATTTAACAAGATTAACACTTAAAAACAATTATTTGTTTGCTCGAAATTATAGCAAAGGTGCATCTCAGTTGAGCTATTCCTTAAAAAAAATGCACTTTAACGGTCAAATCAGCTGAATTTGCTGCCTCGGTGCTCCGGGAGCACGCACCTAAAACAATTATTTGTTTGCTCAACGTTATAGCAAAGGTGTGTCTCAGTTGATCTTTTAATTAATAAATGTACTTTAATGGTCAAATTAGCTGCATTTCGCCGGGGCGGTGCAGCTGGTTTAAGTTGCTCCAAGCAGCGAGCAGAACGAAGGTGGAAGTCTATGGCAAGTCGACTGTGTCATTAATAGCTGGTGAAGATTCTCAGGACATGGTACATTTTTAAAAAAGTTCAAGAAAAAAACAAAACAGTCATATCTCAGCCAAAAATTGGTTTATAAATATGCGGAAAATAAATCCATAAATATGTTGCTTTGGCCTATAAGTCGCACGACATGTAAATTATGCACAAAAAAAAAAAAAGTGACTTATAGGACGAAAAATGCGGTATTTATTATTCCTCACATATGCCTACAGAATTCAGTGTTTTAATTTTTATCGGTATAAACTATAATTATTTTCCTTCTTTATGTGATATGGTCTGTTTTCTTTTTATTTTTTGTCCTAAAATGTAAAAGTATCAATAAATGTTAAAATCCATGATCGCTCCCACAGGCTAGAAAAACCTCCCTCAACAAACTCAGTAGCCCATGGGCCATCAGTTGATAATCACAGTTGTAGCAGGTTTTGTGGCTCCAGACACGTTGATTTAGTGAGCGAAGGGGCAGAAATGGCTCTTTTGATCAAAAAGGTTGCAGACCTCTGTCCATGACTGATGCCATGGCTGATAAAAAAATATATATTATAAGGTACTAACTTTTGATAACTATTAGACAGAACATCATTTCAAAATGACCAAACTGCCCCTTTAATGTCAAGAGAGATATCTGGATATGTTGTGATGAAGCTGCCGTCATGTGTGCTGTTCAGACAGGACCCAATAACCAATCCCTTTAAAACCTCTTTCATGTGTCTTCCCTGCAGCGACTGGATAAAGATGAGGCTTACTCTGAAAGACAGAGTCGTCCTTTTTACAAACACAACATGCATCTGTTGCCTCCCTTTTGAAGCCGCATACATTTCAGTTCAAAGAGCCAGAGCAAGGTGACAGTTTGTGCTACTTTTCAGCTATTAGCCTGGCCCCACCATCTGCAGCAGTCTGGTTGAGGAGTGGGCTTTATGAACTTCACAAGGGGACAGTTATTAAAGCAGCTGAGTGGAGACGGGCCATGTGGTTTTTGAGTTTACCAGCGGGGGTCCTGGGTGCTTTGATGAGGAACAAACTGTTAAATAATCAGAGGTAGAGGGAGCTACTAGAACGTTACAAAAGGCCAAGCGCCTTTTTATGGAAGTGATAGAGGACTCACTTATTGTACGTTTAAACCGCCATGAGAACACAGCAGCACCTGCAGCCACACATGCAGTACATTTAGTCACTTTTTAATATGGATTTTGTTACTTGATTTAAAAAAACACACACATTTAATAAATTTAAATGAAATAATGCGTCATTATATCTTTATGTGGCACATTTTTACATTTGAGCAACTTTTGATCTGGTGGTTGACATTTGAAAAACTCTATGCATTTGTGAATCTTGTGGTATGTTTACGGACACGTGCAAATCTTGTTGTACGCTTGTGTGAATACATCTGCAACTAACTTATCTTCATACTATTTCTGCTAATGCTAATTTTTCCTTTTAATTTGACTAATGCAAACTCTACTAATGTTAAAACTACTAAAGCTAAGTCTACTAATTTTAATACAGTTAAATACTATTACTTAGTGTTTTACTGCTTTTGACTAATGTTTTGCTACTTTTAACTAATGATCTTCTAGTTTTGGATGGTGTTTTTCCCCCCCTACCTTTAAATTTTAGCTAGTATTTTGTTACTTTTAGCCAACATTGTGCTAGTTTTAGCAAGTGTTTTGCTAGTTTAAGGTTTTACCTAGCCCTTATCAATATTTTTGTTACTATGCCGCCCTATTTATTTATTTTTGCTACCATTCTTCTCCTTTTACCCATTCTGCTCATGTTAGCGTCTGTTTTCACTTTAACATCTCATTTGCAGATCTATCTACCATACCATACCATACCATACCATACCAATTTATTTATATAGCACTTTAAACAGTGACAAAGCACACCAAAGTGCTGTACAGGGACAAACAGAACAAGCACACAGCAACAGATTACATAACAGGACACCAAAAACATAGAAACCAACAAAAACAGTAATGGATAACAACAACAACCGCAACATGACCAACACAGTGTGATGCACACAGACTCAGCACAGATCACACCGTGCTGAAAGCCAGGGAATAAAAGTGTGTTTTTAAGCGAGATTTAAAAACTGTGAGGGAGGGGGCCTGTCTAACGAGCAAAGGTAACTCATTCCAAAGTCTTGGGCCTGCTACAGAGAAGGCCCTGTCACCTCTGCACTTGAGACGGGTTCCTGGGACTGTTAGGAGCAACTGGTCTGCTGATCTGAGAGAACGTGGTGGGACATACGGCTGGAGCAGATCAGTAAGATAGGAGGGGGCAGAGCTGTTTAGTGATTTATAGACATACAAGAGTATTTTGAATTTGATTCGAAGGTGAACCGGAAGCCAGTGTAGGGAGGCCAAAACAGGTGTAATGTGCTCTCTTTTGCTTGTGCTGGTCAAAAACCGGGCTGCTGCATTTTGGACCAGTTGGAGTCTAGCTATGGAGGTCTGACTGATACCAAAAAGGAGTGAGTTGCAATAGTCGAGCCTGGATGTAATGAATGCATGAATTACTGTCTCCAGGTTATTTTTGGACAATATGGGCTTCAGCTTAGACAGTCGCCTAAGCTGGAAAAAGCAGGATTTAACAATCATATTTACATGATTGTTGAGTTCATGTATCTACAACAGGTAAGATGTTATTTATTCATAACGTTTGGTCAGAACGCCACTTCAAAAGATCTGAACTATCACTTATCTGGTGCTTTATATCTGACTGCGGCGTCTCTCAAATTTCTCACTTTCACGAAGAAGCAAACCTCGCAGTTCTTCAGTTTGTCCACTAGATGGCACCCTTACTCCAGGCTAAGCAGCTGCCCTGTTGACGCTGAGAAACAGAAACACGAAGCTGCTTCAGATTCAATTTGTAGTAAAAAATAATAATAATAAAAGAGAAGTTTTATTTATTAATCCTGACTAATAAAAAGAGAGAGGGAGAAAAAAATCAAGACACCTGCTTTCTGTCAGTGGAGGGCAGACTGAGTGACGTATGCATGTAACGCTGACGTAATCACGTCAACCTTGCAGGTGGCGGCATGTCCAAGATAATGTAATCCGTTCAGAGACGCCCAAACTTGGACACAGAGCTCCTGTCTTCCTGCTCTGATACATGAGGTCAGTTATATTTCCTCACCTTTTATTTCATTTTTTTAATATATTTTTATTGTATTTGTATTTTCTACCTGCATCTGTGCCTCTTTGCAGCTGATAAGGGAAATCCGCTGCGAGGCTGTGACGCAAATCAGCGTCTCCCGCTGCTGCATCGCAATAAAGCGAGAGTCCCCGGGAGCAGCCGAAGGTCGGGTTTAATCATTCAGAAGGTGAGGAGGAGCAGGAGGAGCAGGAGGAGCAGGAGGAGGAGGGGGAGGGGGTGTGGCGCCAAAAATTATCACCATAACAATACCCGCCCCAGAACAGGAGCTCGTGCGTGTTTCGTGTGGCGTGAAGCGAGGTGTCAGGTGCGGGGCAGGGCGGGGGACAGGCGGGCTCCAGACCTCCGCATCCCGCAGACTCAGCGCCTGGTGCGGCCTGCGGAGGAAGCTCTGCCCGGTAAGACCGTGCACCGTGCCTCCTTTTTATGTCGCTGTCTGCAGACAAAAGGTGGGAGAGGAGGGGAGACGTCGAGGAGGAGGAGGAGGAGGAGGAGGAGGAGGACAAGACAAACCGTACAAATAATAAAAATCCGGAATGTTTCGTTTTGTTTGCGGCTGCGCTGCAGAAAAGCGTCTGCGGCTGTTTGTGGTCCTGGCCTGGGTTTTCTTATCGCCCGCCGCCGAAGGCGATCATGTTTGTGCCCGTGTCTGAGTCTGCGCTTGTTTGTTTGTCGGTCTGTTAGCAAAATATCTCATGAACCAGCGAAGGGATTTTAATCAAACTCGCACAAAGTAATCCGCGGACGTGCACCTACAACTGATTAACTTTTGGAGTCAACCCAATTCAAGATGGCTGCCACAGCTAGGCAACACTAGCATTCATAAAAATGGCTAAAAGTCAGCCGAGTTTGTATGTACCGAGCTAAAATTTAGTGTGGCAGTAGCTGAGAGTCATGCCCAACACAGACTGTGAGCACTAAAGGATCATGTGACACCTGTTTGTAAAACTTTGCCATCAACCAATAAAGTGAAGTCTGCCTGACTGTTAGCAAAATATCTCATGAACTACTAGATGGATTTTAAAGAAAGTTTCAGAATTTAATTAGTGGGTGCACCTCTATAACTGATTACCTTTTAGACTCGGCTCAATTCAAAATGGTTGCCACAGCTAATCAACATCATCCAACACAAACATGGCTATAAATCACTGAAGTTTGCAAATATTGAGCTAAAGTTTGGCGTGGTCGTAGCTGACCATCCTCTCCAACTCAGAGAACTCCCCTTCTTGCCACATCTTTGCAGAAAACTTTGCCCTTACCTTATGGCGTTAAGCCATTTAGTCTGTTAGCAAAATATCTCATACATGGCTGGACATATGTCAGTGAAACTCTCTGAAAGGTAAAACTGAATGCATGTCTACAACTGATTTATGTTTGAGGTCAATCTAATAGAAGATGGCCACCGCAGCTAATCAACGTAAGCCAACACAAAGATGGCTGCAGCTCAGTCAGTTTTACAAATATGGATGTAAAATTTGGTGCGGTAGCTGAAAGTCGTCCTCAGTTCATACTTAAAGCACTAACGGATCACGTGAGATCTCACAGACACAAGGTTGGACCAAAATAGCCGTCACATCATCATAAGATGGTTTTAGTCTAAAACTGTAGCACGGAAGGCGGCGGGCGATATGCATTCCTTCAGGGTGTGACTCCTGGAGGTGTTCCTCCTCGTCGAGGCGGGTAACACGCGGTCGGCTCTGCTGTGAGGCGATGCTTTGACCCGCTCTGATGAGAAACGGGTTCTTTTCAGCCATAGAACAAATATCAGACTGTTAGATCCTCTTCCGTGTCGTTTCAATCCCTCCTCTGGAAAGCAGATGATGATTGAAGGTAATTACAGTTTTCTCTGACGGATGGACAGCGGTGCCAGTGATACGTTTTAATTATGGAAAGTCCAGAGCTTGTGTGTCAAATCCAGCAAATGAATCCTCTTTTCTCTGTTTGTCCAGGCTCCATCCCACCAGGCTCCATGTGCTGTTCGCCAGTGGAAGAGGACATTGAATGCCTCTAAAAGCTGCAGGTAAGACTCCATCTCTCTTTGACCTTGTGTGTGTGTGTGTGCGTTTTTTTTTTTTTTTTAACGTGGGAGGTGTTGGATTTGATCCATGGCCTTGAACATCTGCCCGTTTTCCTGTCCCTGAATTCAGTCCCGGACCTCGTTCCGTGACGTGATCCTGGATGAAGGTTTGCGAGCGCTTCCTGTGTTTGATTAGATAAATGGCTGCGAGGGTCGGAAACAAACAGTCGGCAGCTGAACCACCTGAATCAGCTGTTGTTGGTGGTGGTGACGAGAGCGGCCGCTCTGAACCCGGGACCTTCTAGATAATGTGAAGGAGCTGAAAGCCTCTGCAGGTTTGGATGCTTCACGTCTTTCAGTGGTTTTAAATATCGATTCTTCTCAGTCAGCAGTTATCCGTCTTCCTCCTCATGCGTACCGGAGGGTAAATATTTAATATGTTTAGACGTGGCGTTTGAGTTTACCAGTTTATTTGAGTTGGACTATACCTGCTATGAGGAAGGAGCGAGAACAAACCGGCACGAGCTTCAGTTAGAATCACCTCCGCTCCCTGCAGTGGATCTCCTCGCTCCACTTAAAGTAAAATGATTTGCTCCTCGTTGATTAGCAGGAGTCAGGCCGCTCATAGCAAACACAAACGCAGGCGCAGACACGAGCGCTGACGTCTGTTTGAAGCAACGTTGGCCACCGCTTCAGGCACCTCTGCGTCGTTTAAAAGTAATATTTAAAAACTGTGCAAAGTGTGGCTTAAAGTGATAGTTCCGATAAATTGTGAATGAGCTCGTCTTTTTTTGGAAAGCTCACGTCAGTTTCATCATCCACACCTACAGGCTCGATTACTGCCAGACATGCAGAATCAAGAAATCACCTAAATAGAGCTATTATCCACAAACGGTGGAACGTGGAACAGTGGAGAACCGTCCCAGGAGCTGTCAGCCGATCCAGAATGCTCCCAGAACACAACAAAGGAGGTTCCAAAAGAACCCAGAACATCTGAAGCCCTGCAGGCCTCACTGCCTCAGTTAGGATCAAAGTTCACGATGCAACAATAAGAACTAGACAAGAAGAATAAAATGGCCTCCATGGCAGAGTTCTAATGTCAAAACCTGCTGAGCAGAGACGACACGAAGGCTCGCCTCATATCGGCAAACATGGTGGTGGTAGAGTCATGGTCTGGGGCTGCTTTGGTACCTGAACCACTTTCTGTAAATGATGGAACCATGAGTTCTGCTCTCTACCAGAGAATCCTGGAGGTCGTCAGAACACGACCTTAAACTCGTTTGGGTTCTGCAGCAGAGCAGCAACATTCCTCCACAGAAACACTCCTCAACAGTTAAATGATCGCAGCTGCCGCCGCCAGTCATGATCAAACACCTGCGTCTTTTAAATTCACTTTATCTGCTTGATGATCTGAAATACGTGAGAACGTCCCCAAAAACTGGACAAATCTGAAGAATCTGTACTTTTTCACAGCTCTGTACATGTAGGCTGATGTGTTCCTGCTAAAACTCGCCTCCCACTTGATTTTAAAACCCAGGTGAAGCGTTCGTGGGTTTCTTGAAAGTCCTCGAGCGTTCACAAACAAGGATGTTGCCTAAAAGAGAGTGAGTTTGGAAAAGAGCGTTTCCTGTTGCAGCATATCTTGATCGTAAAGTGAGCGTTGGTTCAAGACTTTGTCAGGCAACAAGTCGAAATGCAACTTTTCAGAATCAGAATCAGAATAAGCTTAATTATCATTGTGCTTAGATACAGTGAGATTATGTTCATACAGTCGTCTGAAAGATGGCGGAGTGCACGTTGCTGCTGCTACAAAAGCGTGGCCTCTTATCCTTTGACAGAATATTTTTTAAGCTAGAAAAAGTGAAAAGTCTATGAGGATGGATAATGGTATTACAAAAAAGATCTTTTCACATCTTGTCCTATCAGGACACGATTTAAGACATAAAAAAACTCTACCAGCAAGCACATTTATAAACACATTACATATGCGTTTGATGTCAAGATGATGAGATTTGTCCATGAAGCACTTCCAGATAGGCCTGATAAGATGTTGATCAGCCGGCAGTTCTGATAAGCCTGCACAGAAGTTCTCCGGGGGGTGGTTTGCGATGAACAAAGCTTTTTTCCGTAGTTACCATGGCCCAGGAGAAATTTGATAGTCGGCCTGCTTTCGAGGCCAAACAGTGGAGTCAGATTCAAATATTCCACAACTCTTGATTTCTTCAGGCAGACTGTTTTTTTCTTGTCAGCCTTGAGTCCTGCTGGTACTTTAGATCCAAAATGGCCAGATTTGTGGGCATTCCACTGATCCGTGCTATGAACCTCCTTCAATGTTGTCTCCAACATGCTGGCGAGTCCTAGAAGCCGCAGGTGGCCTGCGATTCTCACAAATCGCTTCTATCTTAAAGCTTAGCTCGTAAATCAGCTGATTTTGAGTACTCATAGCACGAACCAAACCTTCAAGGCAGGCAGCCTGACGAGGGCCAAATTAGCTGCAGCCATCTTCTTTGTATGTTGATAAACCAGGAACCAGACGATTCCAAAAAGCAGGAAACCTGTTATCATAAATCCAATTATATATGTCTTCGACATTCTCCTGAGACAAAACAGAAAGACACATCAGCTCCCACATCCATGACGTACCCTGCTGCGTGTGTCACAGTGGGACGTGAGGGCTCACCAGGACCCTGTTGCTTTGTTGAAAATATTTTTTGATTGCGTTGAAAGTCCAGCTCACCAGACCCATAATAGTATTTTTCGTTCAGAAGATGTGTAACAGGAGCTCCGAGACACAGACAGAGAGCAAAAAAGCAGGAGGAAGAGGAGAACAGGGGAGGGAGAGAAAAGGTGTCCGCCTTGGGCGAGAGCGAGTGCCATGAAAGAAAGTCTGCTGCCATGAAAGTTGGGCAACCATGTAATTACACACAGCTGGTGTGTGTTCAGGTTTGTTTGTTCGTAGGCCTGTCATGATAAACAATAAATCAATTAATCGCATGATAAATGAAAATTATCGACCTCATTTTCATTAACCAGCTTTACTGTTCCTTTGTGTCTCTCTTTCTACTGAAGACACTGGATGACAAAAAGGCTCAACTCCGGTGCTCTTCACTGACCCCTCCCTTTCTCTTTTCTCTTTAAAATCCATTATAACCGTCCAAAATCTCGTTTTTGGATCGTTAAAAGCAGCTAAGCTGAGAAGCTAAGCTACGAGCTAAGCTAACAGGCCGACCTCGGGAATAAACGTCCGTCTTGTCGGAGCTCCAAAATTCACGGTTGATACCCGTGCCTTCGTGTAAAAAGTTCTTTTTCTCAGCAAAAAGAAACTGAGAACTTGTTTACTGATTTTTTTATTAAAAGCTTAGTGTGAAAAATGCTAAAGAGCTCAAATCACCAAGTGTCAGCCCATGTCACATCAAGGGACCTCCCTCCCATTTTTCTTAGAGAGACACCTGCTCAATTATCCATCCTTTGGTTCAAATAGTCTTATACTGCCATCGGGTGGTCAAAAAAGGTACTACATTCCAAACAAATCAACATTTCTTCTAAAATTTGACAATTAATTATTGTGAAATTTCAAACAATGTTATCGTTTATCGCAATAATTTCTGAGACAATTAATCGCCCAGTAAAATTTGTTATCGTGACAGGCCTATTTGTTCGTCCTCTCGTGAAATATCTCATGAACCACTGAGCAGATTTGAATGAAACTCTCAGAATGTAATCACTGTGCACATGTACCGCCGATCAACTTTTAGAGTTTACTGGCTCAAGATGGCAGCCACAGATGATTGGCTTTAGTGAGCACTAAAATAGCTCTATCTTAAACTAAAAAAATTGGTGTTTACCAGCACAGCACCGAGCGTCTCTTTACCAACAAACGAGTTCAGTCCCAGCAGACCCAGCAGAAGCCGCTGCTCCACAGCTGGAATCACGTGAGGCAGCTGGAAACAGAAGCTGCATCTGTTTCTACTGATGGTCAGCGGTGAGGGGTGGCGCTTCACTCTTGTTGCAGCAAACAGGAAGTTCCTGCGTAGAGAGGAGGAAGTCTGTGCTGACTAGATCCCATGCAGAAATCCGACTTGTTTAAAAAAATACTCACTTGGTGGAAGTTGAGTAAAACTAAAACAGGAAAAAGAAGACGTATGTGCGGATCGAACTTGGATCATGGAGAACTGGACAAAACTGAACAGATTTTCTGAGTCGTATCGAGCTTGTCTCTGTTTAGTTTGGGTCATTGTTGAGTTGGGCGCCCTGTTGCTCAATAATCAAACAAGGTCGAGTCAGGTCCTCTGGACGGATTCTTCTTTGTTGAAACGTTTATCCAAACGACTTCTTCAGTCTGAGGAGCTGCAACAAACTTACAGTCTTATAAGAGAACCTTCTCATCGTGGATCAAACCAGTTTGCTGGTGACAGCCAGAACTAGCTGTTGGAGCCTAACGACTGATCGTTACTCAGCCTTGTTAGACTAGAGTGGGATGTTTTTGTCAAAATGTATTCAAACCTCAGTTATTAGTCTAATTTTTTCCATGCGTTTTATTTTCCCTAAATTCTGGGTCTCAAACTTATCCCCTCCCCAACGGTTGCAGCCCGGTGAGATTCTAACTAAATCACAGTTTATGGGTAAGGGCCTTGCTCAAGGGGCAAATGAGGGTGGAGGCAGGTGTGGGCGCTTCATCTATCCCACCCACTTTTTGATGTTGTTGATACCGGGAGTTGAACCGGCGCTCTTCCAATCACAGGCCCACCTTCTCTAACCTCTGCGCCACCACTTCCTGAACTAAATCACAACGTTTAAGCTGAAAACTGACTCAAGCACGTCGTTTGTCTTTAAACGCTAAAATATGTATTGTCTTCACAAAGGATTGAACCAACTTGAGATTTTTTTTAAAACTCAAAGCTAAAAACACGTGTCTGATCTTCAGCTAAACAAAAATAACTGGAACAATGTTTAAAATGTGAACAAATAAAGAAAATGTAATCGAAAGCAGATTTTTTCTTTCT